GCTATAAATGGCAATAAAGTGTTAACTAAGATTTAATGTAAATGCAAAGCTGTGCAGTTTGTGACAAAAATAAAATTCCAGCACTGCATCTCCTCCACTCCTAGGGTATGACTGGTTGTTCTTGGGACTAGGGTAGATAACTCACCCAACTCAGCATAGGTGGAGAGAGAAATGTCAGGTAGTATGTCATGCACTAGAACAAGATTGCTGGATAGCTCAGTGGTTTAGGTATCTAGCTGTGGAGCCAGTACTCAGGAGTTCAGTTTCCCACTGTGCCTCCTTGGACTCAATGATCCACAGGAAATCTTCCAGCTCTGCAGTTCTAAGGTTATAAAACAGTGTAAGAAGAGAAGGGACTGTATTGTGCCAAGTGATCAAGCTCTATTTGGAACAGAGTGCATAGTTCTGGTCACTCTGTCTCAAAAAGAGTATCTTACCCCTGTATAATATACAAAAAGAGCAACCCAAATGGTTCAAGTGGTTGCAGCATCTTCAGTGAAAGGCAAGATTAAAGTTTTGGTGGCAAAACAATGACCAAGGAAAGGGGAAATGATAAGAACTGAATTGGATTACAAATAATATGGTGAAGAAAAAAGGCTAAGAAGAGGAGAGAGGAAAGCAGTAATTATGTTCCACAATGCATAATTAACATATGGAAGGCATAATCCACGAGTTTAGAAAACTGATTCCAGCAAAGTTCTTACAGAGGAACACAGAACCATAGAATAATGCAGCTGGAAGGGACCTGAAAGGCCATCAGGTCAAACCCTCTTCTCAATTCAAGAATCTGAATCAAAGTACTGTACTCGTATATGTGACTGATGATTGTCTAAGGCTCTAAATCTACCTCCTGGATGGGACAGTACAGTAGTTGGTTCTGACTTGACATTAAAATGTATTTTATACTAGTAAAATAAGGGTGATAGAAGAGGGAATGTTTAATTTTAATATGAAACAAGCAAAAAAAGAAAGAAAGAAAAGGAAAAAAAAAGAAAAGCGAGAGAAAAAAAAAACAGAAACAAAAACCACCATAACTAAGCTGATCTCCAATTCTTAACCTTTTTTCTTCTTTTCATTTGAAGTGTGAATCCAAGGTGCTGTCCCCCCCAGACTAATCATTTTTTCCGCTCCTGGCTTTGAAGTTTCTATAAGCTGAGGATAGCTTATCTGAAAATTCCTGGCGAATGAAAGATGCTTAAACAGGGGGGAAGTGAATAAGAGGAATTTCAATATCTCAAGGAAGAGGCTGAGCTCTTTGGTAAAAGGCAAATACATATTCAGTCCTGCAGCAGCAGAACACATTTTTACTACACTGGATCAAGTGTTGAAATCCGTCCTTAGAACCATCATCTCTTGAAGGCTTTGCTTAAGATGTACTTTGTACTCTGGCCTGTTACTGACTCACAAAAGCATCTGAGAGACCTCCCCCCTCCTCCGAGCTCTGTATAACACAGCATAATAGTTTTAACATTGAGAGACTTAGTACCTTTAGAGGGTTTATTTGTGCTGGCTCAACAACTCATTTTATCATATTATACTCCAGGATGGTGCCTTTCAACCCATTGGTCATTTAAAACTGTTGTTCTTGGCTACAGTTTATACTAGTATGGAATACCACTTGCATCAAAGCTTTGCAAGCCTAATGTCAATATGTAAAAAAAGTACAACAAATTCCTTTAAAACAGCATACTCTGTCCAAAATCTTACTGGTATTCATGACAAAATTGTGCAAGTTGCTCTGGCTACTTGTTGAGGAGCCAGGCACCATGTCAATTAGCTGCAGTTAACCAGGCATCTTACTGTATGTGACCCATATGCAAACAGTGATAGGATTTTCATTCCTGAAATGTATTCAGGGGGTGCGCGCAAACTATTATGGCCAGTTCAATGAAAGTGCTGCTTTAGTGAAAAATAAATGAACAGAGACAGTGGTGGCTGAACTGTGCAGTTCCTTATTTATCCTAGTTTCATTTTATTTTTGCACCAGCCCTTTAGGGTAGGGTTGGAAAGATGTATTGATTTGCCCAAGATATTTCAACTACCTACCATGTTCAGTGGGAAATTTTATCTGGAACCAAAACTGACATTGACATGAATACCGAGAACTACTGTTAGCAGAGCCAGCAGGAGTTAAGGTTTGGATTCAGCCTCCAAAAGGCAGACCAGTTAGGACAGCACATGGCCCCCCTTTGGAAATAAATCACATTTACACCTCTTGTTTTAGGAACATAAGAAAGCTGATATTTATTAGAGAAATACATCAAAACAGGAAAGAGAGCAATAATCATAATTCTTACTCAAGGGGAGACACAGAACCATGGCTGACCCTCAGGTCTTAAAAAGAAAAGTAGACACACAGTGTGTGTCAAGAGAGAAATGTGAGCATTTGTGAGAGCAGGTAAAAGACAGTCAGGATACTGGAGAAGGTGCACACAGTCATCTCCAATGGTTACAACATGTAAGGGCTGGCCTATAACCCTATTCCTTCCTCTTATATAGCTCTGAAAATGTTATGCTTATATGTGCCATATTTTCTTCTTACACTATAAATTTCTTCTTAAGCAAGGTCAAGGTATTTCTCACATGCTGCATAGCTCAGGAGGCTAACAGGCATTGTCACTTAAAGGAATCTGTTGCTCTCAACCTACACAAAACAACCTACCAATAATATGGATAAACTGTTGTTACAAGGAAGATATGGTAAAGCAATATTTAAGATCATTCCAAACAGCCTCCAACTAGCTGGAGAATGTTGGGAACTGCTCAAAAACCCACTTTCCCAAGCTATTCCCATAAGTTCTAGGTATAGGAGAAAAACAGAAAAATCTAGAACAATACAATTTATTAAAGTGTCTTAGCTAATTAATGCAGCTCCTGTAATGTGTCCACAATGTGAACACTTAGGACACTAATGCACACAACCTGCTTGTTCCACTTTGCGCTGCCCTTTGACTGAGTGGGTAAACAAATCAGGAAGGGGTTGATATTTTAAAGGTGCCCAAACAAGCCAGAACTAAGAAGTCAACAACAAGCATTCATTTAAAGCAAGTTCATCACGAGCAGTTCAGGCATGCCTTATATCCTCACCTCCTCTTTTAATGGGGCTGATGAAGCAGCAAATAATGGGTACCACTTTGCAGCTATCATGTCAGAATTTCATCTTTAAAGTGACATGCAAACATGACCACTTTTATAGGTTTACAACAATCCACAATATAATTAGCATTTTTATAACATGGACCATAGAATACAGTACTGTGTTTCTATCATTAGCCAAATGCTGCCTATTCCAAGAAATTATTCAATATCTGAGGTGAATTAAATTCTCCTTCTTAAATCTCTGATGCGGAACTGATAAGGAACAGCAATGGATCTTTTGTTTCTTCATTTTTATCCCTTAACAAAATAATGCTATGCAAACTTAATTTTTAATGGTGATTTACATGGATTTAACAGTTGAAGACAACTGCTGACTTATTCAATTTCCATATGCTAAACTACTTTGTCATTTAGTGGCATTCTTCTGTTTGGAAGGTATTATATTTTCTTGAGACAGTAATTCTTTCTTTTTTTTTTTTACTGAATAACACTGATTTTTAAAAAAGATATAACTTACGGTAAGCTTCCTCAGCCACTGGTTTTGAATGGGAAATTCCTGAGTGGTAGTAAGCTTCTTTCAAATTGAATAGTGAGAATAGAGCAAGTTCAATAAACAGTTTATATTTAAACTATTTTTTTAAAGATTCAACTCAGAAGCATTTTGAACTCTAAGTCAACTACCAGTGTTGAAGCCCAGCCACTGCCTGATCTCCAGTTAGGACAGTGACAGGTATTAAATCACAGCATGCCACAAACGATGACCAACATTTTGCAGCTTAGCATACGGATCAGAATTATGTTTACATGGTGTAAAATCTCACTGAATTGTAGAGACTCCTCCAAGCATATGGTTATGTTCAAGATCAGAGGCCGCATTGGTTATATCTGGGCGAGAAAGACTTGAATGCTTTGAGGAAAAAGAGCTCATGCTGTATCTTGTAGCAGGAAGAAGCAAACAGCATGGCCAATGCTAAAGGCCATGGGAGCTTCATTCAAAACCCTTTGTAACCATTGCAATACGGGCCCACCAGGAAGAAGCAAAACAGCACGGTCAACACTAAAGGCCGTGAGAGCTTCATTCCAAACCCTTTGTAACCATTGCAATACGGGCCCCTAAGGGTGGGTGTGGGATGGGGAACCTTTCAGGACATCATCACATCATCACAATGAATGTTTACAATGTAAATGGATCACATACCCCCCAAAGCAAATAAAAAAGTCAGCACAAAGGACTAGCTCATCAACTTAAGTATTTCACCCAAATGGACCTCTTGGCTGTAATCTTGCCAGCAAATATAGACCATAATAGCTCAATGGGTGGAGTGTTCCACTTTCACTTCTCCCATTCTCTAGCGTGCAGTTATTCAAATCAGAAACCACCTTGTAATGAGTTAGTGAAAACCCTTGAGCATGCTGTGGAAAAAGATGAATTGTGTGAGGTAAATAGCACAAATAGCCCACTGCCCCTAATAATTACATTAATCCTGAACAGAAAAATTGCCCCCTAAATATCTTCAAGTTAGCACAGTTTTTATTTTCTACACAATCCTTATTGTTCAGCTACCAAGAGGGGAAAAAAGAGCAAACGATATTACTGCATGAGAGTGCAATGATGTTGTTGTGCTGGCAGACCAAATCAATATTCTACAAGGCAATTCTAAAAATGGGGCCAGCCCAAAGAAAAACTGAAACAGCATCATATAAAAATCTTCTAAAGCTTAACTGAATACGGAAGAAAACAATTTCTGGAACACCATGACAATTTCTGAAAGGTATTGGAGAACATTTAAGCTATTTCAGAGCATTTAAGAACTACATGCATTTACATTTGCTTTATAGCATGTTGATGCAAAAGGAAAATTTTTCCCTTGAATACAATAAAGTAAAATATAAGTACCTACCTATCAGCTCCTTGTTTCGGACATCTAAGGCCATATTTCGTAAAGCTGTTGCAACCGCACACACTACTCGGTCATTGTCTATTCGAAGGAGCTCTACCAATATTGGCAGGCCTTTTTCTTTCCGCACAGCAGCCCGGATATATACTGACCACTATAAAGAAATACATATGAGAGAATGAAAAAGTGGAGCAGTGGAGACACTGTTGGATTTCACCCATAGTTACTTTTCACAATCACACCAACCACTATTGTGACCAAATAAGAGCAGGGAAATTGGCACTATGGCGGTGCCATTTTTGCTTGCAAGCTCTGATTTATGATAACAACAATAATACCTAACATTGATACAGCTTTTTATATGTTTAATGTGATTTGACTACATTACTTTTCTGTAATCCTGTAACAATCCTATACTTTAGCTTTATTACCCTTGAATTACTTGGATGAGATTGAGAAAAAAAATTTTTTAAAGGAAGAGGCAAGAGTTGAACCAGACACGTCCTGATTCATATTTTAGTCTCTGAACCTCTTCTCTCCCCTCTGCTTTCCACCTTACCCATAAAGTGAAAAAAAAATCTGCAACAGGCATGAAGATGAGAAAATAGGATTTAGACCACTTTTCAAAAAAACTGATATTAAGGAAAAGCCCTCTGTGTTCCAGTTTTCAAAAACCCACTGAAAATTCTCTCAGTCAAAATGAAACACAAATCCTTTCACGGTGTCTTACAGGTGAAAGTAACTATAACACTTCCCCATAAGAAAAGGTTACAATGTTTTTTAGCTTAATAGCAAAGGCCAGGAGGGCAGTATGATAAAAGTGTACAAAATAAGTGTATGATGTGGATATTGTTGATTATTATTTTATTAATTTCTCATAATCTTAGAAACTGGGGTTATCTAATTAGGTGAAATTGTAGGAAATTCCAGACAAATAAGAACACAAAGCACATTCTTCAACCATGGAGTTCACTGCCACAAGATGCAACAATGGATGCCAGCTTGAACGATTTGGAAAGGTTATTAGAGGATAAAACTATCTGTGATTAGATTATTGGTCAAAATCTAGTCACACCAGTTTTACAGAAATGGCATAATTCTTAGAAGTGAGTTCCTCCAAGTTAAGAAATTACTATAGACATTATGAGTTGCGCACAAAATAGTGTGACTCAGTGTGCAACTACTAATGTCTACAACAATTTCTTAACATGAGACAATCTGCTTCCAAAAAGTATGCCATTTGCATAGTTATGCAAGAGGATTTTGGCCATTATCTCTAGTATTAGAGTCAATATGCCTCTAATACCAGTTGCTCTTGATCTTGGGCAAGAAAGTGATGTAACATTCATATCCTGCTTTGGAGTTTCTGGAGGCATCTAAATGGCCAATGGGGAAACAAAAGGAAACTGTATTATCCTGAGCACACACATTAAAAGGCGAAGGCAATTTGATGTAAAAATGAGGAACACACACACACACACACACTCACACAATGTATGAAGAAGCTCTTAGAACTACAACTCTAAGAAACCTGCAACACAATGTCAAGGATCCAGAGAACTATACTGTATAACAAATTCTGTTTTTGGTGTCTGCAGCCATTTAGACTTGGGGTCAGTGTTTCCATGCTCAGCAGACAGCATTTTACATGGTAAGTTGTTTTTGGAAATGAGAAGAATTTTAAATATACTTTTTGATGGGATATTGAACTGCTCCAAAAAGAGGACTGCCAGAAATTATCTTTGGGCATATGTAAGTAGTTCTCTGCATTCATCCAAAATGCATAGAACAAATAATGTGTAGAATAAATGTGTAAAATGGCTGGATAGCTCAGTGGGTTAGGTATCTGGCCGTGGAGCCCAATGTTGGGAGTTCAATTCCCCACTGTGCCTCGTTGACAAGGGGATGGACTTGATGATCCATAGGGTCCCTTTCAGCTCTGCAGTCCTAACATGATGATGATCATGATTTCCATAAACTAAGCAACAGTTTCCAATCACCTGGAGATCTGTCCCTTCAGCGCTGCCTGGAGACTGTACTGCAATGGATGCAGCTGCATGGGTTGAGGCTGAACCTGGACAAGAAATGACTAGAAACTATGGCTATTACTGAAATGATGATCTTTTCTGTGCCTTCATGCCATGAATCTTATGGGAAGATATACAAATTAGATGAAAAATCTCTGGATGTATTTTTGAGCAATTATCTGTGGTATCTATCTTCTTTCTGATATAGACCCCACAAGATCACTTACCAAGAAGCCCAATTCCATATGGCAGTGCTCAGATCTTGGAAACTCTATGCTAATTAGATATTAAATTGTATTTTAATGCCAAATGTTTTGATGAAGTATTTGGAATTTTGGAAATTTGTCAATTTATGTTTGCTGTATGAATGGTCTAAGAACTGTAACAATAAACTGACTGAATGACTGAGCATTTATCTGTGCTATCTGCATTATAGGAACATGTGCTCTGAAACACTGTTACAAAGCTTCTGCATTCTTTCCCAGAAACTGAGAAACAAATTCACCCTCATGTATCCTGTTTACTCTTTCTGTTTGCCTAAAGCCACTGAGAATCAGCTCTGCATTTTCAGAATCTGTAAGCCTGCTGAAGGATAACACACAAACAGGTAAAGGTAAAGGACTTTTGTGGACATTTTTAAAAATGAGATTTTTGCCAATAAACGTAATCATTCAGTTACTCCATAAATCAGCCTGACATTCATGTTCAAATAATTGCTCAGCATGAAAAAGAGAAAGATCCCTATGGAAACAGCCTGCTCTAATTCAGAGTAAGAAATAGTGACAAACAAAGTTTATTTCTTTTGCATCCTGTGGCTGCTAAATTGTCAAAGACATGCATGGAAGTTACACTAAATTCTTTAACACCCTTTTGAGATAATAGAATTTGTAGGGCATAACCATCCAGCATTGCTTTGAAAACTGAAAGTTCATCATCGTGTCCCTTTTCGTTAGCAACATTCCTCCTCAAAATAACCACAGCAATTAGGGAGCTTGCTAAGATTATTGCAAACATCTTTATTGAGGCTTTATACTCTATGGACTTAGTATAATTTAATTTAATGAGACAACCACTTGCCATATCTCTGACATAGAAAACAAAAGCTGTTTTGACACAGTGATGTCAGAAGAGTGCAATGCTAAGTGGATGGATGTACAGGATGCTTAACCCCTGCTACCACACCTACTTATGACCACTAAATGTCTTTCTTAGGCTGCTTCCAGAAATATGCTGTGTTTTCATTATATAGTGGAAATGAGCTAGTTAGAGGAATACACAAGATGCTATCTTTTACAAAGGGGTGATTCCGCCCCCCCCCATATCCCTCCCTTAACTGTGGCTAATGTCAAAATTATACAAACTTCGGAAATATTAAGGAGACAGGAAGAGACCTGGGTTTTTATTTGGGGGGGGGGCAAGTGAGCAAGCATATAATTTGGTATTTAAATCTTTATTAACTATGCAGAGTATCCTTGGAAGAAGTGAATGGTATATCACTTCTGAGTAATTATCTTAAAAAAACCATGGAAGGGGTGGCCATACGTTGGAATCAACTTGACAGCATGTGCTTATCATTAATTATGCTTAAGTAGCAGCTACTACGAGTTGGGAATTGGTGGCCTGGCACTTGCCTGGCTCCGATCCTTCTTGGAGGACTGCCCCCAGAGAGTACAGCTTGGGGAGAATGTCTCAACCCTGTGGGGTTCCACAGGGGTCGATCATCTCTCCAATGCCGTTTAATATCTGTATGAGGCCGTTGGGTGAGGTCATCAGGGGGTGTGGGGCATCGTGCCATCAGTATGCTGATGACACACAGCTCTACATCTGCTTTTCACCTACCTCAGTGGATGCCGTTCTGTCCCTCCAGCGCTGCCTGGAGACTGTACTGCAATGGATGCAGCTGAATGGGTTGAGGCTGAACCTGGACAAGATGGAGGTCTTGAGGGAGGGTGGCCCTTCCATTAGCAGTTTGGGTGACTCCCTTTCTTTTGGGGGGATGATCCTTACTGCAAAAAGCGAGGTCCGCAGCTTGGAGATACATCTGGACCCAGCGCTTACCATGGAAACCCAGGTGGTGTCTGTGGTCCGTTCCGTCTACTTTCATCTATGGCGGATTGCCCAGCTGTGACCAAATCTTGATGGGGGAGGCCCTCACTACTCTAGTCCATGTGCTCGTAATTTCAAGATTAGACCATTGTAACGCACTCTACGTGGGGTTGCCTTTGAGATTGTTGCGGAAACCTCAGGTGGTCCAGAATGTGGCAGCCAGGCTTCTTATTGGGGTGAGAAAATATCAGCATATCTCCCCCACTCTGGCTGCTTTGCACTGGTTGCCCATCCATTTCCGCGTTGACTTCAAAGTGCTAACGGTGACGTACAAAGCCCTAAACGGTTTGGGACCTCGATATTTGGCAGATCGTCTTCTTTCACCTAGATCTACCTGAATCACCTGACATAGCCAGCAGGGACGGCTGAGGGGCCGAACGCTGAGAGAGACCCGGAAGGAAAAAACAAGAAACCGGGCCTTCTCGGTTATGGAACAGCCTTCCAACTGAAATTCGACTGGCACCCTCGCTGGGTGTTTTTAAAAGCCATTTAAAAACTGGGTTTCCATGGCTCTTCAGGCAGGGATTCCCTCCAGTCAATTAGCTGATCCCTATCTTTCTTGTTTGAGTTATGCCATCTTGTTAATATGCTGCTTAGAAATAAGTGTTAAAACTGTGTTTTTAGATGATTTTATATTGTTCATATTGTTGTGCTTTTATTTATGTAAGCCACCCCGAGTAGACGTTGTCTAGAGGGGCAGAGTAATAAGTCTAATAATAAATAAATAACATAAAATATAATACTCTGTTGCTACCTTTTGCTGCTATTATTGTTACTTCTAGTCAACCATATTTATATACTTTTATCCTATTCTTGCAGGCATCCAGCCTGTTTTTATTAATACAAGGCGATGCTCTTCTTTGGATCTGGAAACCACAGGACATATTGATCATTTTGGTGCCTTTGCTGCAACTGCTGGGAGGCTCATCAAAGTCTGAATCTGAATACCTTTAGAAGTACTGCAAGACTAGAGTCGGTGAAGAGAGACTGTCTACAATAATTCATGCCCAAGTTTTACTCTCCTGATGATAATTTCACAGTCATTGTAGATCACAACATTTTGCTAGCCACTCCCTCCTCTGGAGCAAATTCCCTGTTTAGAGGGAATTTGCTGATTATTATGAAGAATGCTCTATTTATTGTAGAAGTTCTCCTTTTTCCCCCCTTTCCTTTTTCTGCTATATAAAAAGACAGCACAGTTGGCAAGTGGCAGACATAATGACATTTCTTAAGCAAAGGATACGCAAGGAGGATTAACCATTTTCTTTTCTCCTGGATACAGTCTCCTCCAGGGTCAAACACATTTCAGGTAAATTGACAGGGCAGAATGAAGAAGCTTAGGGAGACACTGCTTTTTCTGTACACGTTTTCTAGGTAAGCAGATTATTTCATTCGCAGCTCAGCTTTACCAATTTTGCTTGCTGACCTCCCATTTCAATGAGTGATTGTTTGGTCAAATATACTTACCTTGGGCATGACAAACCATGCGTCTTATTGATATATGGCCCATTTTTAGCAAGCTTTGGCAGGATAAATCATGTATTCTACTTCTTGGTCCATACAGATTACTACATTGAATTAACAGCTCTATACCATAAATAAAACATGGTGGTATAATACAGAGACAAATGTATTAAATCATGTTAGTGTTACATTATCTGAGCTCATGCATCTTCGTGTGTGATTAATTATGTTTTAAGGAAGGATTTTCTGTAGAATCAATATTTGTCACACACTAAGTCAACGGGGCTGCTTCAAACTGTTCCCTAAACTCACAAAAGGCCCCTTATTCTATGTTTTCTCATATATCCTTGCCCATTTATTGAAGTTCTTTAAGTAGAATATGAATTAGTGCCAAATACAACAATGCCTCTGCAATGAAAATCCTTGGTTTTACTTAAAGTGAATTAAGTGAGAAAGCATTTTAACCAGTACATCACTAATGGAGTTTATTTAATAATTAAAAAGGGACTGAATTCACATAGCTATATCTTGTAATCAGCTAAAAAGGCAACTTCTTTTCTAACAAATGTCTCTTTGTTACATCACAGTCTGAAACATCCCTACTGGATTTTGGCTCAAGTTTTATAAATTGGCCCAATGTACCAGTGCCAACCTTCTTTAGAGTATGACTGAATGGAGACACACATTTCCTACCTTCCAGCTACCTGCAGCCAGATTCTGTAGTGCACCTGCTGCCCCTTCCAATGTATCTGGATTTGAGCACTCAGAGAGAAGTGTGAGGTAGGGTTTGACTATGGATGGGTGCCACAGCATCTGGATTCCTTTTGGTGGTTCTGCACAGTCGGGGAGAGGACCTACTCCATCCCACTGGAAAGAGGAGAGAAAAAAGGGAACATCACTAATTCATGGTAATATAAAAGAGGAAAAATGCTGAACTAAATCAAGAAATATATCTTTAAAACTACAGTCATGCCCCGCTGGATGATTACCCCACTCTACGACGAATCCACTTTACATTTACGTTTTTGCAATCGCTTTTGCGATCGCAAAACTATGTTTTAAATGGGGTTTTTTCACTGTGCGAGGATCGGTTCCCTGCTTCGGGAACTGACTTTTGCTTTACGACGATCAGCAAACAGCTGATCGTCGGGTTTCAAAATGGCCACCAGCTGAAGAAAATGCCCCCCCACTGTTTTCTAGGACAGATTCCTCGCTTTACAGGCACCGAAAATGGCCACCGTATGGAGGATCGTCGCTGGACGAGCAGGTATCCAGCCCATTGGAATGCACTGAATGGTTTTCAATGCGTTTCAATGGTTTTCTTTAATTCTGTCTCATGACGTTTTCGCTCTATAGCGATTACGCTGGAACGAATTAATGTCGTCAAGTAAGGCACCACTGTACAGTGGTGCCTCGCACAACGGGCGCCTCGTAGAGCGATGAATTCGCTCTACGAGGCCGTTTTTGTGATCACAAATGCGATCGCAAAACGCTGCCCGTATAGGCGGGAAATCGCAGAACGAAGGTCGGTAAGCTGCTCACTTACCGACCTTCGCTTTGCGACCCGACAATCAGCTGTTCCGCAGCTTCAAAATGGCCGAAACAGAACAGTATAAAAATATATAAAATCATAAAATTACAATTACAATTTCAATTTAAAACAATTAATTTAAAGAGAGGATTACCAAGATGGAATAGCAAAGAAAAGAAAAAAGGAGAAAGACTTAATTGACTGGAGGGAAGGCCTGCTTGAATAACCAAGTTTTTAACTGGCTTTTAAAAACACCCATGACGTTTTTGCTCTACAGCAATTTCGCTGGAACGAATTAATGTCGTCAAGTAAGGCACCACTGTACTTTCATGTGTAACACACATTTCACAAGACATAACAGCAACAAAAGCTTAAATAACAAAATTCTTAAATAACCTGTTAACTATCACTTCATCTTACAGTGGTTGAAAATCTATATGCTTTTTGGCCAGTTAGCATGACAACAAGCTGAAAAGCAAATGAGACTGATGCAACCAAAAGGGAAAACAAAATCTCCCTATTAAATGACACAAAATAAAATGGAAACCATTTGTTATTGTTCAATGATGTTCTATATATTAAAAATGGAATTGTACATGACAATATACATTGATTCCTGCTAAAAATAAAAAGATTATAATCCTCAAATTATTGTGCATGAGTAGTTCAAGTGACTATGGCAGTATAATTCCATTCTAAATTTGTTTGAGAGCTGGTAAACCATGAAAAGCAGAATGGATTACATGGACTGATTTGCAATAAATTTCTTCCATGACAACATCACTTGCAGCTTATTTGAAACCTTTTCAAAAGATACTTTACAGCACTTCATTTTACAATAATCACAAAACACATATTCTTTGAATCTTAGCATTTCTCCCTACAGGGTTATGCAAATAGTGCATAATTTTATTTTTAGAATTTATGTGTCACTTTTCTACTGAAAGTCTCCAGAGTGATGCACAGTTATAAAAATGACCTAAGTATTATATAGAAAAACCACAGCACAAACAAATTAGGTACAATCAGGGGGAATTAATAATACAGAAGTCAGCAAAACCAATAACACAAAAGGAGAAAACAACATGTTGAATTTAAAAAAATCTTAATCTGGAACTGAAATCTGACTAAAGAAAGTAGTCTGATGGCCATCACCCTTGCTGCCATCCACTTCCTCTGAAGTCAGAGGCATTCAAAGAAAGATGAAGTATCATAGGATATAATCCCATCTGTCTGCAACTTTCATATGAATACTGACTCTGCTTTCTCTTCCACATTCTACTGATACTGGCCCAGGAGGGTGCTCTTCATACGGAACTGCGCCACATGAAAATAGTTCTTATGAAGTTTCGCAGATACATCTGTAGACATACAGCTGGTATGGGCACATCGTTATAACATTGACATATTGTATCCAACAAAATATTAGAAAGCATATACAGTACATATTTTCTTAAGCATTAATGAACATGAAAGGTAAAAAAAGTGATCATAATGAGAGCACAGCTGAGAGCTAATGTAACAGTGACTTAGGAACTGAGTCACCAGTTCAGATCTCGGCCCTGCTGTGAACTCAAACAACCTCTATTCTCAAACATGCACCACAATTTCTCAACACTAAAAATGCTATCATAGGGGTCTATGCAAATTGCCAAAGCCAAAGAGAAAAAAGAAGAAAAAAAACTCATTGAGAAAATGATAACATTATTCAAAAACCATAAACTGGTGATAATACAGAATTGAATACACTGGAAGCTGTCAAAAGGATGAGGATTATCATGTAATACTGTCCTGCTGGTGGACAGAGTGCCTGAAGAACTTTGGATAGAGGCTCGTAACATTGTACAGGAGGCAACAACAAAAACCATCCCAAAGAAAAGGCAATGCAAGAAAGCAAAGTGGCTGTCTAATGAGGCCTTACAAATAGCAGAGAGGAGAAGGGAAACGAAATGCAAGGGAGATAGGGAAAGTTACAGAAAATTGAATGCAGACTTCCAAAGAATAGAAAGGAGAGACAAGAGGGCCTTCTTAAATGAACAATGCAAAGAAATAGAGGAAAATAACAGAAAAGGAAGAACCACAGATCTGTTCAGGAAAATTGGAGATATTAGAGGAACATTTTGTGCAAAGATGGACATGATAAAGGACAAAAATGGGAGGGACCTAACAGAAGCAGAAGACATCAAGAAGAGGTGGCAAGAATACACAGAGGAATTATATCAGAAAGATTTGGATACCCCGGACAACCCAGACAGTGTAGTTGCTGACCCTGAGCCAGACATCCTGGAGAGTGAAGTCAAGTGGGCCTTAGAAAGCACGGTTAACAACAAGGCCAGTGGAGGTGATGGCATTACAGTTGAACTATTTAAAATCTTTAAAGATGATGCTGTTAAAGTGCTACATTCAATATGCCAGCAAGTTTGGAAAACACAACAGTGGCCAGAGGATTGGAAAAGATCAGTCTACATCCCAATCCCAAAGAAAGGCAGTGCCAAAGAATGCTCCAACTACGGCCATCTGTTTGACAGCTAAAGCTTGGCCAAAAATGGGTGAAGCAATGGAAAAACGATCCCAAGCACACCAGCAAATCTACAACAGAATGGCTGAAAAAGAAAAGAATCAAGATGTTGCAACGGTTCAATCAGTCCAGACTTCAGCCTAATTAAAATGTTGTGGCAGGACCTTAAGAGAGCTGTGCATAAACAAACGGCTACAAACCTCAGTGAACTGAATCAACATTTTAAAGAAGAGTGGGCCAAAATTCCTCCACAATGATGTGAGAGACTGATAAAGTCACACAGAAAATGATTACTTCAAGTTATTGCTGCTAAATGCGGTTCCACAAGCTATTGAATCATAAGGTGTACTTAATTTTTCACATATGGCTTCTCCAGTTTGGCTTCATTTTTGTAAAATAAATCATGATGTGGTGTAATATGTCATGTGTTGTTGTTCATCAGAGGTTGTATTTACCTAATTTTCAGACCTGCTAATGACCAGATAATATTTGTTGTCCTGATACGTAAAACCATAGGATTCAGAGGGTGCACTTTCTTTTTCACATGACTGTACAGGTAAAGAAATATAACCAGAAAGTGGGAGACAGAAGTCATTAATCGACAGCTAGCATCTGGATAGCAGACTCAACACATCACCTGGTCATGTATAGTGACATTATTATTCTATTTAAATATTAGTCATTGTCTCCGCACACCTGCATCTATACATGCAAATTAACATGTAGAAATCTGCATCCTCTTTTCTGGCACTACATTCCCTCCTTTTGGGTGGTGGTTTAGTTGCCCACTGCACTTGCAATATGTTAAGAATTTTAAATGAAATTTACGGTGCTCTCTAACATCTTCACAGAGCTCTGTGAGATCTGTTATCATATTCTAATTAATCCAGTAATACGGATTCTACAGTCAATAGGAATCTAGGGGATTATGGAAGTCATAGTCACAGCTTCTGCACACAGTACTTTCTTATCCAACCTTCCCTTGTGGATTACAGTTATATACGAGATTTCAAATATACAAAATGAATACTAAGTTGGAAAATGTTTCCATGCTTAAGAAACTCTGACAAAGCCTGTCACATTACTGGAAATATTAAACATCAATCTAAGAGATTTTTGGGTTTCTATCACTATACTAATCTAAAGTCTGAAGATGATGTAATTTATCTTCATGCCATGTAACAGTCCTGTAAACACTGATTTGATATTACATGCATAGTTCCATGCACACCTTATTTTAAGGAAAGGATATTATATGTATGTATGAGTTTGATAGGCAAAAAGCACTCTGCAGAAACCTTCATTCTGCTCAGATGCAGAAACACCTTGGAAGTAGAAAAAGTTACTTTTGAGCAATTACCACAACTATATTACACAAACATTAAGGTACCCATATGAAAAAGTCAAAATGATTCTATGTTCATTTGAACATTAACCTGAACCCAAACCAATCCACACAACAGGTACATTTTCTTGACACTACTGTGAAGCTACAACATGAACATCTTAGCACTACACTGTTTTGAAAACCCACTGACTGATATACCTAACTGAACACCTCCAGCTTCCATACTGAACACATCACTAAATCTATCATTTGCAGCCAAGCTCTCAGGTACAATTGCATCTGATCAGATCCACAAGATAAAGACTCCAAATCCAAAGATCTAGAAATTGCATTTCTCAGACTACAATACCTATACAATAAGGTTAAAAAATAAATTAACTGGGCAAGATGACCATCTCAGAAATAACCTACTGCATGACAGAGGCAGAAAAGAAAACAACCAAACACTGAAAGTTCTCACACACATCACAAATGATTTCAAATACATGCTTGACAAGAATACTTCACTCTCCCAAGCACCTGGTGGCAGGCTATATTTGCTTACAGACAACCCCACAGTTTCAAGCAACCATTGACACACAATGAGTTACACAATGTTCAAACAACAATGGGGACTATATCCTTACAAACCAGATGCTAGCTCTGTCCCCATGTTTACTCTGACAACATTATTACCAAAATATACTCTTTTTTATTTGTTATTTTATATATATTACAAAAATATACCCAAAGATGACCAGCTGCAAAATATTACTTTTTGGGAAAATTAGGGTGTAACAGCGTCTGTTAGGCATCCTTCAGTCTCGAAAGACTATGGTAGCGTGCTCTGTATGGAGGGCTTGGAACAGCGCCTAGTGTGGCTGAGAAGGCCAATTCGAGAGTGACAGTCCCTTCCACACTGAAGACAAATCCAGTCTGTCCCCTGTCCGGCTCCCTGGTTTTGCTGCTTTTGTGACTTCCTCTTTGCCTCGGCCTGCTGGGCAAGGGTCTCTTCAAATTGGGAGAGGCCGTGATGCACCGCCTGCCTCCAGGCTGAACGTCTTCCAAGCTTGGAACCTGATGATAGGCAACAGATATTTAAAATTCCAGGAAGGAGAGCTAGGAAACCCACAGAAATGAATAATCCGGTTGCACATAGATTGTCTTGTGGATTTCTGTTAGGTTAAATGAGTTTCTATAATATTACAATACTACCCTGTTTCCCTGAAAATAAGACAGGGTCTTATATTAATTTTTGCTCCTAAAACACATTAGGGCTTATTTTCAGAGGATGTTTTATTTTTTTTTCCATGTACAACAATTTACATTTATTCAAATACAGTCATGTCATCTTCTTCTGGTTGCTGCACAATGGTGGAGGGCGGGGTTTCACTTAACTAGGGCTTATTTTTGGGATAGGCCTTATATTATGAGCATCATGCAAAATCATACTAGGGCTTATTTTCAGGTTAGGTCTTATTTTAGGGGAAACAGGGTAGAAACAATTACTCTGCAAAAAAGAAAAGGATTTGCACAATCAACTATGGATACCTTTACTCTGTTTCTAAACAAAAGCAATCCCAGAAACATATGTAAAACTATGAAGGAGAATGGAAATTTAATACAAGATGCAGCTAATTTTTTCAGGATATTTGGCAATTTTAAAGAAATATAAATTGGAAGATTCATCTTCAAAAGTCATTGCTCAATTAGCAGATGAAAGCAAATTGTCCAGAAGTATATGCTGGTAAACATCCATGTTTCGACCTGATTATAAAGCGTACTGCTTATATACCGCCCCTAGTGCTTCAAGCACTCTCTGGGCGGTTTACAAGTTAATTATGCAGGCTACACATTGCCCTCCCCCCCCCAGTGAGCTGGGTACTCATTTTACCGACCTCGGAAGGATAGAAGGCTGAGTGAACCTTGAGCCGGCTACCTGGGATTGAACCCCGGGTTGTGAGCACAGTTTTGGCTGCAGTACAGCGGTTTAACCACTGTGCCACGAGTCTCCTATTATTCCTGTGATCTTGAAAATGGCAACGTTCCTTTAATTATATTTCTTTAAAATATTAATTGAAGAATATATTCAGAGAACTAATATTCAACAGCATTTTATTAAAATACACTCCATATTTTCTTGCCTTGATTCCTGATATGGTAAAGTGTACAGATCAGTGCTATGGTGAACGAAGAGGTAATATGTGCTGAACGGCCCGTCTATTTCTCCAAGATAATGCCAGAAGGAGAACCCTTGCTGCTGCTGCTACTGCTAAGACAGCTAGGTCTAGTCAGTGGCTGTAAGACTCACTTACTGTACTCTAAAATAAGCAGTTTACATTTGTTCATGAGCGTCCCCTGGATTGCAAGGAAAACAAACCTATCAATTCTAAAGGAAATCAACCCTGAGTGCTCACTGGAAGGACAGATCCTGAAGCTGAGGCTCCAGTACTTTGGCCATCTCATGAGAAGAGAAGACAGTATTTTCTTGCCTTGATTCCTGATACGGTAAAGTGTACAGATCGGTGCTATGGTGAACGAACAGATAATATGTGCTGAACGGCCCGTCTATTTCTCCAAGATAATGCCAGAAGGAGAACCCTTGCTGCTGCTGCTACTGCTAAGACAGCTAGGTCTAGTCAGTGGCTGTAAGACTCACTTACTGTACTCTAAAATAAGCAGTTTACATTTGTTCATGAGCGTCCCCTGGATTGCAAGGAAAACAAACCTATCAATTCTAAAGGAAATCAACCCTGAGTGCTCACTGGAAGGACAGATCCTGAAGCTGAGGCTCCAGTACTTTGGCCATAATGAAAGATAGTGAAGACCTCTGAACATTTTGTTTTTGACTAGGTGCCATAGCAAATTTTTAGATGAACATTTGGCAGTTCAAGTAGACTTCAGTACCTGATCTTGAGATTTCTTCTTCTTCTTCTTCTTGCCCCAGCATCCTGAACTTTCTGCATCTTTTCCATTGCCATCACCACACAGCAAACCATCAAGTTCATCAGTTCCCATTTGCTGTCCCTGAGATGTTTCAGCAGCGAGTCTGTATGAGAGGTTCCTTAAAATGCACACACAGTTTTCAACGGTCTGAAAGAGAAAACAAACAATTTGGCATATCTGTCAATATGTAACAGGACTGCTAGTGTTAACCAAATTTCAGAGGGTATCTACAACACAAAAATAGAAGGCTATGTAAGATGTGGTTTTATAATCTATGGTCTTATATTGATCTACCCTTCATTATTTATTTATCTACCCCATCCAAGGTGGCTTACATCATTTTTTTTTTAAAAAAAGACAATACTGAGTTAAAACAATAATTTATTCAAATATTTTAAAAGAATTATGAAAATAAATTAAAAATATTAGATTAGCAGCATTACTAAAACAGATTTAAAAGCTACAAAAATACAAACTACAAAAATTTAAAATTCTCCTTTTTTTAAAAAAAAAAAGCCTTCTTAGGCAGACTGCCACTTAAGGGAAGGCCTGCCTGTAGAGAAAAGTTTTCGCCTGTTTGTAGAAGGACAGCAAAGACGGGGCCAATCTGGCCTCCTGTGGAAGGGAGTTCCAGAGCCTGGGAACAGCAACAGAGAAGGTCCCCTCCTGTATCTCCAACAAATACACTCATGAGAGTGGTGGGACCCCCTGATGCTCTTAACTTCTTGGCAGGTTCATGAAAGGGACATGTGATCTTTGAGATAGCTTGAACTCAAGATGTTTAGGGCTTAGTAGGTTAGAACTAGCACTTTGAATTGTGTGCAGAAATAGAGCAGCAGCCAGTGGAGCTGATGTAAAAGCAGGGTTATGTGAAACTGATGTAACCAGCCCTAGTCAAAAATCTGGTTGCAGCATTTTCGATTCACTTAAGTTTCCAAACACTTTCAAAAGGCATCCCCACATAGTGGGTGTTACAGTAATTCAGCTGGGATGTAATTAAGGCGTGTGTCACTGTGGCCAGATCAGACCTGTCCAGGAAAGGGTGTATCTGGTGCATCAGTTTTAACGGTGCAGATGAACTCCTGGGCACTGCCAAAACCTGGGCATCCAGGTTCAGAGACAAATCCAGGAGCAAATCCAACCTGCACACCTGTGCTTTAAAGGGAAGTATAACCCCAACCAGCACAGGCTAAATTCCGATTCCCTGATCTGTCTTTTGACTGGTCAGGAGTACTTCTGGATGTAACCAGCCCTAGTCAAAAATCTGGTTGCAGCATTTTCGATTCACTTAAGTTTCCAAACACTTTCAAAAGGCATCCCCACATAGTGGGTGTTACAGTAATTCAGCTGGGATGTAATTAAGGCGTGTGTCACTGTGGCCAGATCAGACCTGTCCAGGAAAGGGTGTATCTGGTGCATCAGTTTTAACGGTGCAAATGAACTCCTGGGCAATGCCAAAACCTGGCCATCCAGGTTCAGAGACAAATCCAGGAGCAAATCCAACCTGCACACCTGTGCTTTAAAGGGAAGTATAACCCCAACCAGCACAGGCTAAATTCCGATTCCCTGATCTGTCTTTTGACTGGTCAGGAGTACTTCTGCCTTGTCTGGATTAAGTTTCGGTTTGTTCACCCTCATTTAGTCCATTACTGACACGAAACATTGATTTACAACCAAAACAGTTTCCTCAAATTTAGATGAAAAGGAGAGATACACTTGGGTGTCATCCACATACTGGTGACACTGAACCCCAAAACTTTGCACAACGTCTCCCAGTGGTTTCATGTAGCCGTTAAACAGCACAGAAGACAAAACAGAACTCTGAGGGACATCACAGGCCTATGGACAGGGTGTCAAACAAAAGTCCTCCAGCACTACTTTCTGAATTCTCCCCACCAGGAAGGACCAGAGCCACTGTAAAAGAGTGCCTCTAAGTCCAACCCCAGAAAGGTTGCCTAAAAGGATAACATGGTTGCTGAGAGGTCCAGCAGAACTAGCAGGGACACACTCGTTCTGTCTATTTCCTAGTATAGGTTATCCATCAAGGTGACCAAAGTGGACTCCATCTCATAACCTGAAGCCAGATTGAAAAGGATCTAGAAAACCTTTCATCCGGGAACCTCTGGAGCTGAGAAGCCACAACCCATTCCAGAAACTTGCCCCAGAATGGAACATTAGTGACTGGCTGGTAAATATCCAATACACTGGGATCCAAGGGGGGATTTTTCAACAATGATCTTACAACTGCCTCTTTTAAGCATGCCGGGATCCTACCCTGTTGCAAGGGGGCATTCATCACGCTTCCTACCAAGTCAGACAGTCTTTTTCTGGCAGCTTTTATAAGCCAGGAAGGGCAAAGTTCCAACAAACACATAGTAGCCTTCTCCCCTGCAAGAGTCCTGTCCACGTCATCAGGCAGCAAGAACTAAAACATATTCATTAATGCAAGACAAGCAAGGACCATAGTTACTATACATTCAGAGGAGCTGTATCAACTACAGCAGAAGTCCCCAACCCCTGGTCTGCAGCCCGGTGCCAGTCCATGGCCTTAGCCAGACCGGGCTGTGGAGACAGACCTCCTGCCCCCCTGCACTCACCCCCGCATAGCAGATTTGCACATGTGTGTGTGCTCCGTGTGCCCATGTGAGCACCGCACCACTGTTTGTGCATGTGCACGAGAGTGCCTGCACGAGTGCCGCCATTTGCGCATGTGCATGAACACACCCGCAGAAGCACCACATCGTCACTTGTGCATGTGCATACACTCATGCTCATTTACGAGAGAGTGTGCACTCATTCGCGCATGCGCATGAGGGGTGCCCCACCTTCCTCAGCCGGTCCGTGGGGTGAAAAAGGTTGGGGACCCCTGAACTACAGCATCCAAGTCCCTGCTGACCTGACTGATTTTGCCTACAAAGTGTTATACAAATTCTTCACAGGGGGCTACACTATCCTATCTTCCTATCTTAATTTATAGTGAAGAAAGTATCACATGACAGTTGAGTATATTTTAGCCAATCACCTGTCAGGTACTGTAAACAAATTATTTTAAGTATCTAAATACCAAAGTGTTTTTACTGTAGTGAAGATAAGAGATTTGCAAACCAGCTTAGGATCCCTGTGAAGAAGTGGGAGTGCAAAGATAAGAGGGAAAAAGAGGAGGAGTGCACTCCTGTGGTGCCTTGTAAAGGCTTCAATGGTTCTATAAAAAGATAGATGAATGACCAAAATTGTCCCTGTGGGTGCATCTACCCTATCTGACAGGAACGCCAGTTTTAGTGAATGAAGGATATAGCTACCTTTTGCTTAATGAAAAGGAAATCCTCTTATTATGGAATTAGTTTATACAGAACTAGCAAGGTATATGGTATATTACAACATTAATAATATTATTAGATGGGA